CCGGACCTTCATCACCAGAAGTGCTTTCGAGTTCCCTGAACAAATCCTCATTCAGCTTCGATGCTAGCTTGAGCACCCTCGTGGACACCGTTGCTCCATCTCTGCGATTCTTGCCCTCCCGTCGATGTTGAGATATCTTGCCCGTGAACTCCCACAATCGTCCTTCCGGCTGTAACATGCCAGTCTTTGAATCTCGTTCCGGCATCCAGTCAGGCGCAATCTGTACAGTCAATCCACCCTTGCCCTTCGCGACCTGAATGATGCCTTCCTCTTGGTATCGAGTATACGCATTCTTGATTGCCTCAGTGTTGATAGCCTCGAAGTATGACAGGTCCCCTTGATGGTAAAGTGTTCGACCGAATATCTGAGCAATTCCTTGGGCCTTCTTCATATCAATCCATTGCACGGTCGAGCCAGGAGTAGGCACAAGACAGAACAGAGAAACAGCCCCCAGCCATGCCGCATCGATGAACGGCCAGAGCAGAAAGCAGTAGAAGTCGAAGTCTTCCCTTCCCTGTTCCCGTTCCGCTTGCGCTAGACCGATTCGTCCGTCAGTCACCTCGAGCACATTGTTCTTCACCAGCCCATTCAGCGCTTCTCTGTAATTGTGCCCGATACCTTGACCTGTCCTGAAGATGAACTCGCCTCTGGTCAACTGCGACATGAAGGTTACTTGTTCTTCGAGCTCTTTCCCCGGAACCTGCTCTGCTTGTCTCCCACCTCCTTGCTTGACTTTCGCGTAAAGTGATATGGCAATGAGCGCTTCAGAGATGAACAGATGAATTGTCGCATTTCTGTAAAACGACAATTGAAAGCGGTCGACAGCGTAGTAAGTCTCCTCTGCCAAACCCTCGACCGTCCCCACCAGATTCGACCCAAGCACAGCCAAAGCACGATCGACCACTTCCAACGTCGGCATGCCATGGAAGTCCGCCACATTCCCTCCATTGGCCACAATCCTTGTGCATAGCCATTCAACACGCCGCGCCAACTCACTTCTGCCAACACCACGTCCGCGAAGCGTCAGAAGAACTGTACCGACAAGAGCGGTCGGCATCACCACAGACACATCGTTGATATCGGCCAGAACCTTGTATCCTAGCGTTCTCAACAGCCGTATTCTCACCTCGGGCTTCGTTTTGTCAATGCCATCCTGAGCTTCTGCCACAGAATTCGTTCGGGCCAGCTGAGCATCGATGAACTCTCGCAACGACCAAGGCTCATGGAACCGACAATCGACCCTGCCCATATTCATGCCAAGGATTGAGGAGGAAGACAGGAAATCAGTCAAGTTCTCTTTCGCTTTGGGTTTACCCAGCATCTCCGTCACGTACGAATCAACCTCGATAACCTTGTCGTACTGCATCGAAACTGGACAGATGTAGGCGTCCTCAGTTCGTCCGGACAGAACCGAGTCGAGCAGGAACCCAAGAAAACCAAATTTTGGCTGAAGCAGCTTGCCAGTCCGCGACCTCCCTCCTTCGATGAAACACTCTAGATTGTATCCTTGTTGCATCATACTGTCAAGGTACGCCTGGACGAGTGTCCTGTACAGGGCATCACCATCAAAGCTTCTCCTAATCCACATCGCTCCCCTGTGTTGCAAGAATGGGCCAACGACCGGAAAGTTGAGGTTCTCACCCGCCACAACGACGGGCAAAGTGATCCCAAGCCTGTAACAGATGAGCTGCAATGCCACGTAATCGATATGACTGGTATGACGAGGAAGAAACACGATCGGCTTCTTTTCCGCAGCTGCTCTTGTCGCAACCTCCCTCAACCTCTCGACCTCGGGTTGCGAAACGTGAACACCGCTGTAGACTCTGGTGAGAAGTTGAGTACACATGTAGAAGGCCGATCTGATCTGAAACTTGCTTTCCATCTTGCACATCATCTTATCTACCATCAGACCAGCATATTCCTCGAGGCTCGAAAGGACCTCTGCTCTTCTACCGTCAACCTTACTACCATCCAGCAGTTGCTCCTCCTCCTCCCTCCGCAGCCTTTCCTCCACAAGTTCGTTCAACTTCTTCTGCAAGAGAGGTGAGGACATGACCGTGTTCTTAATCTTTGCTGTGTAACCAGAGTAGAAGACTGGCTGTCCGACTTGCTTGTCGTAGGATCTCCAGTCAACACCTCGAATGAAGAGGTACAGTTCATGAGCGAAGTCGAGAGGGTTTTGACGGAAGCGAGCAAATGGTTGTAGGATTGTCTGTTCGGTTGTGCCATTTTGTGCTGGTTGCTCTGCTTCCCGCAGCAGCGAGTTCATCTGAAGGTTCGAAGTTGTGTCCATTTTGGGTCTGCGACAGCGCTGTCGCTAGCTATGTGGTCTTCGAGGCATGTCCTAGCAGTGTTCGGACACCGCAAACACGACGGGCATGCCGTGATGGCAATCGTGGCATCTGGGAAGACAATTCAGATTAACAGCTCAAGTTGGCAAGCCGAGGCAAGCGAGGATTGTCTCCAGCATCATGATCTCCAGGCGCAGATAACCCCAGATCTGCCCAGACAAGCCTCCGGAGTTGCGTAAGCGAACAGCCGCTAAGGCACTTCAGGCACCAAATCTAGGGGTCGCAGTCGTCCCGCTCAAACTTTGCCTTTGTCAAGCCGGTCGCAATTCATCCTCGAACAACACGCCGCTGCTTGTCAACAATACAAGACAGCACTCTCGGAACTGTGCGCCAGTCGCTTTGCCATTCGCTACCTCTGCTTCTCACGCTTTCCTTCGATACAATTATCCTCGCAACAAGTAATGGTAATACAATAATCAACAATGGGAAAGGCCGACAAATACAACTATGGCGTTGTCCTCGATGCTGGTTCATCGGGCACACGAGTGTACGTCTATCGCTGGCTGAAGAACTCTCTAGCGAAGGAATCAGATCTTCTAGCACACAAACTCCCCGAACTCGAAACGAAAGACAAATGGACCAAGAAAGTACATCCAGGAGTCTCAACATTTGGCGAAACACCCGAACTCGTCGGATCAGACCATCTGAAGGGCTTAATAAATCATGCGCTCAATCATATACCCTCAGCAGCCGTACCGAATACACCAATCTTCCTCCTCGCGACAGCCGGAATGCGCCTCCTTCCTGACCAGCAACGAGAAAACGTCCTCGACTCGATATGCTCTTACCTCAAGACCGAAACCGACTTCTTCCTCCCCGACTGCGATCAGCACATACAAGTCATTCCTGGCGAGACGGAAGGGCTATACGGCTGGGTAGCAGCCAACTACCTCCTCGGTGGCTTCGATTCGCCTACCGAACACGATCATGGCAAAGACCATCACACATACGGCTTCCTCGATATGGGCGGCGCATCAGCACAAATCGCCTTTGCACCGAATGCGACAGAAGCCGACAAGCACGCGAATGATCTTACACTTATGCGCCTGCGGACGGTTGATGGCCAACCACAAGAATACAAGGTCTTCGTCACAACCTGGCTGGGTTTCGGCGTGAACGAGGCACGAAAGAGATATGTTACAAAACTTCTAGAGGAATATGCAATTGAAGGCCTGCTCGAAATTCCCGACCCATGTCTGCCTCGAGACGCGAAGTTGACGGTTGACGGCAAACTTGCGACAGAGACAGACCTTGAACAACAGCACCTCCTCGGCACTGGTCAATTTGACGAATGCATGCGCCGGACGCTACCCCTCCTCGAAAAGAACAAACCCTGTCTCGACGAGCCTTGTCTGATCAATGGTCAGCATGTCCCGGCAATCGACTTCGACGTAAATCACTTTGTCGGCATCTCAGAATACTGGCACACAACGCATGAGATTTTTGAGATGGCCCACAAAGATAAGAGCTATGACTTCGGAACATATCAGAAGAGAGTCTCCGAATTCTGCAACACGGAATGGCAATTCATCGAGGCCGGTATTGACGACAAGATCTATGGCAAGAAGGTGGATGAACAGACTGCATATGAGGTGTGTTTCAAGGCAAGTTGGTTGATCAATATTTTGCATGACGGGATTGGTGTGCCGCGGGTCGGCCTTGAGCATGAGGCGGATACTGGACACAATGGAACGAAGGAGGTGATTGAGGCAGGCAAGGAGAAAGGATATCTCGAGCCTTTCCAGGCTGTGAACAAGATCAAGAGTACGGAAATCAGCTGGACCATGGGAAAGATGGTGCTGTACGCTTCTGCGGATGTTCCTGCAATTGAAGAGAACGCGCTGCCGGTCGGGTTTGGGAGTAATGAGCCGGGCGTGCTTGTGCCTGCGGACTTTCAACTGCCAGGTGGTGGGAGGCTACAACCAGGGAGTATGAGTGTGCCAGATCAGACTTTGACTGGGAAGATTACCGATACCATTCTATCGAGCGACTCACCGCATCGTATACCTGGTTTCCTCTTCTTCCTGCTTATCATGTTCATTGGTTTCTTCTACTTGCGGAGGAGGAGAGCGGCAAATGGTACGACAGCATTTTTACGGAGGACGAATTCGACTTCCATGCTCAGCAAGATCAATCGTCTCTTTGGCAGGAGAAGCGGATCAAAAGATTACGACCGGGCGCTGGAAGATGGAAATACGAGACTGTACGATCCGAGCGAATTTGAGCTTGGCGGGATGGACAGCGACGATGAAGAATCCGAAGGAAAGTTGGCTGGTGGGTATGTCAGTCCGACAAGTCGTAGGAAGCAAGGAGGACCTCCTGCAGGTAGACTTACGCCAGATTTTATGGACAGAAGAGGTTTGCTGGTAAGGACGGAGAGTAGGGAGCGGTTTGATGGCATTGGTGGGAGGAAGAGCCGTAATGCGAGCATGAGTCCAACGAGGAGGGATAGATAGTCGATACACGATGTAGGTCATGTATCAAACTGTGCCGACATCGTATCTAAATGATCTGCTTCTACCGAGCGAGCTTGTTTCCTTCGTGTGTTGCTCGTCCGAAGAAAACGATATGAGTCAGAAAGACCGGGGGGGATATATGTTGAACCACAAAATTAAGCTTCGAAACCACGCACAGATATCAACTGTACCCGCCCGCTTGGCACAGTGGTAATGCGTCTCACTCGTAAGGCTCTTACTTGTGACATGAGAAGATCACTGGTTCGATTCCAGTAGTGGTGTGTATTTTCCAATATCAGAGGTTATTCAGCTTCTAACAGAACTCCAGGGCAAACTGCTACATCAGCATCTCTTTTTTTTTTCGCCAGTCGTCTTCCTACCAGGCCCATTACCGGTAAGCAGTGACCGAATACGCCTCATGACCTTTATGCAATTCTTCCGCAGCGGTCTCCAATGAAGATGAGGTGGAAGTGATCTGGCCAAACGTTTTTACCTTGGAAGCCCACGAGTTGCTCAGCACTAGGGCTAGTACTGTCCCCCCAGCGAACACACACTGTGATTCTGAATTATGAGATGAGTTGTCCAATGTCGACACTGGACTCGATACTTAAATACGGTCAATCGGCTAAGAGAATTGGCTAAAGGTGTGGTCTTCCTTTCTGCTAGAATAAATTCACCACATCAGACCTCATATCAGACCTCACATCGACGACCATAGCTTCTTCAACCACATTCCACGCATCCCATCTCTAGTCATCCTCCTACAATGCCATCACAAACAGCCTCCACCCCACCAATCCTCTCCTACATCTTCCGCGGCCACACCTCCTCAATCCACGCCCTCCACTTCTTCAGCTCCAACCACTACTTCGCATCCGGTGACAGCGAAGGCTGGATCGTCATATGGCGGCTCACTACACGTCGACCCGCCGCTGCCTGGAAAGCTCACGATGGAGGAGTGATGGGGATCAAGGACTGGAATGGCAATCGACTGATCACGCATGGAAGGGACCACAAGTTGAGGATCTGGCAGGTGAGAGAGGAGGATCTCGACGGGTTGAGCAGGGTATTGCCGGTCGACGCGAAAGGAGATGAAAGCAGGCAGCCATGGCTGGTGCACAGTATGGATGTCAATGCGCTTAATTTTTGCGCTTTTGCGGTTTGTGCGGATAGTGATCGGGGGACGCAGACACGAGTCCTGGCACAAGACGCGACAGACGCTGAAGTCGTCGAGGTCGCGGAATTCAAGCCTCTCCTCCTGGCAGCCCCAAACGGCCTCGACCAAGGCGGCGTCGACATCTTCCACCTTCCCAGTGAACAACGAGTCAGCAAGCTCCAGAGTGACATGCGCGCAAATACAGGCATGGTAATGGCATTACGGATCTTCTATGGCCAACCAACAGGCAAACTGACTCTCGTGGTGGGCTACGAAGACGGCTCAGTCGCTGTCTACGTGAGGAAAGAGCAGAACGTGATGCCCGTCTGGATCTGGGAGAAGGTCATGGCCGCAAAACCACACACACAGCCTGTCTTGTCTCTGGGCGTCCTACCTAGCGGCGAGAGCTTCATCACGAGCTCTGCAGATGCAACGGTTGCTAAATTCGGTATACCGAGCATGAAGATGGAAGATCAAGCACAAGCTGAGAAGACGAGCAATACGAAACATGCGGGGCAACAGGATTTGAAGATTAGGTCCGATGGACGGGTGTTCGCTACAGCAGGATGGGACAAGAATGTACGTGTCTACTCGACCAAGACGTTGAAGGAGCTGGCTGTGCTGCAATGGCATCAGGAGGGCTGCTATGCTTTTGCTTTTGCGGAAGTGCTACCAGAAGCTGCGGCTAACGAGCGCGCACTCGTGGCAGGTAACGCAATGGACAAGATGAAACTGGAAAGAGATGCAAAGGTACACAACACGCACTGGCTTGTGGCTGGATCGAAAGATGGCAAGATCTCGTTGTGGGATGTTTATTGAGCATCACCTTGGCTCCAGTATGACATTATCTATCAAGCGGACGGGTATCTGTTTGCGTTCTTCCTCGGTCTCTGGATTCGTGACAGGATGGACCTTCATGGCTGCGCTGAGGATGGCGCCTTCGGAAGGATCGATCGAAGCTGAGTCCTCGATCGGGGTCATGTCGTCGAATCTGGTCAACGCGATGTAATCGACTTCAATCTTCTGGTTGCCAAAGTATGCGCCATCTCTCTTGTCGAGCGCCTGATCGAAGACCTCGAAAGCTTTCCGCCGAACCTGCCCAGCTCTCACCTCACCCTGGTTGTACGCATCCTGTGCCGCAAAAAGCGCCCTGCTCAGCACGCCGACATCCCTCCTCCTCGTCTCACCCAGAAACACATTCCGACTACTCATCGCCAGCCCATCAGCCTCCCTCGTCGTAGGTATCACTCTAACCTCAGTCGGTATGTGAAAGTCCTTGACCATCCTCTTGATTAGCACACTCTGCTGCACATCTTTCTGTCCAAAATACACCCTATCCGGCTGCACAATGTTGAACAGCTTCGTGCATACAGTCGCGACCCCTCGAAAGAACACAGGCCGACTCGCACCCTCAAGCCACTTCCCCATCGGTGTAATCGTGACGAAGCTGCCATCTCCGTCTATCTCCGAGCTGGGGGGAAGGATTGGGTACATCACCTTGCTCGTCGGCGCAAAGATTCCCGCTATTTCACCCGCTGTTCCCTCTTCGCTCTTCTCACGAAACTCCTTCTTTAATTCCAGTAGCTTCGCCATATCTGCTTCCCAGGTCTTGGGGTATTTGTCCAGATCCTCGTTCACGCCGAACTGTGTTGGATTGACGTAGATGGAGACGAATACGTCGGTGTTCTCGGCTAGGGCGTGTCGTACCAGAGACAGGTGGCCCTCGTGAAGAGCGCCCATTGTCGGGACGAAGCCGACGGTGCGTGATGCATCTTGGAAGAGCCGTCGGCGCAGGGAGCGGATGGAGGGGACATCACGGAAGGTTGGGAAGGGCTCGGAGGTACTGGAGGCAGCGGATGTCGAGGAGTAGCGGCATGAGAGATGTCGTGTTATGAGCGATTCCTGGACCCCTTGTTGAGGTCGCGTGAGTAGACACCGACCTAATCTCCATGACCTCGTTATTGCGCGCATGCTCGCCGATAAGCTCATGGCGCGTCTGAAGGGTGTGTAAATACAACACAGCACAATGACACCGCCAGCAGTATCATTGCTACCTATTGATTACCGCCTGAGAGCGGTGTAGAGAAGTGATTGTTTGTGCAGCGAAGTGCTCAGAATATCCAAAGACAAGGCGCAAGTTGGAATGCAGCTCCGTGCCGCGGCTCCACTCTCGGCTCGGCATCATGAAAGCCTGAATTTCTGCGTGTGGGTGCCTGGCTTCCCGGGCTCTCGAAAAAGTGACTTTGAACTCTGCCTCCGTTGCAATGACAAAAAATGAAGTGATATCGGTCCATTCGACAGGGTTACAGCATCATGGCGGACGATGGATTGATGCTCAACTTTGCGACTGGGGAAGCAGCAACACCCAGCACCAGCACTCCGAAGTTCAAGGGCGGATCATGGCGAGAACGGTCGAGGTTGACCAAAAATGCGAAGTATGCTCGTGACGAGAGACTGGGAAATGGTGGTCGCAGTCAAGCATTTGAACGTGCCACCAAGAATAGACTCAAGTCAGATGACGCTCACCGACCAAAGTCAGATGACACTCAGCCAGCTGGACAACCACCAGCGAAACGGCACAAACGATTTCACGATGAGGACCCAGAAGCAAGAGAGCAGAGAAGAAGAGAAGCCAGACCAGCTCATCTGAAAGATGCCAGCTTCGGCGGCCAGCCAGGGAACAGAGAAGTCATCTCGTCCTTGTTTAGCCATAACCCCGAAGCGGCAACTGCAGAGGCGGAGAAACCAGAACCGCAAGAGCCCGTCAAGCCCTCGAATGCGCCTCTCCCAGATGGTATCGATACTTTCACCTCTCTCGGTCTCTCGACCTCTATTGCCGCCTACCTGTTGACAAAGATGAACCTCAAGAATCCGACCGCAATTCAGAAGAGCGCAGTCTCCCAACTCGCGAAGGAGGATGCAGATGTGTTCATACAGTCAGAGACTGGCTCAGGAAAGACGCTTGCATATCTGCTTCCGATTGTTCAGCGATTGGCCACGATTGCCGAACGACAGAAGCACGAGACTCAAGCTGAGCAAGGCATGGGAAGGGAGTCTGGACTCTTTGCGATTATTCTGACTCCAACCCGAGAACTCTGCAAGCAAATCTCGGTTGTTCTTGAGAAGTTGCTGGGCTGTGCACACTATATCGTTGCTGGAACTGTTATTGGAGGAGAGAAGAAGAAAAGTGAGAAGGCAAGACTGAGAAAAGGTCTGAATATTCTTGTTGCTACACCAGGACGGCTTGTCGATCACCTGGAGAATACGGAGGTTCTGGACGTGAGCAAGGTGCGGTACTTGGTACTGGATGAGGGTGACAGGCTGATGGACCTCGGGTTTGAGGAGGACATCACCAAGATCGTCAACGCTCTAGACGGGAGGCGAAGGCCGCAACCTGAGATTCCTGGTTTGCCCGAGAAGAGAATCACCGTGCTGTGCTCGGCAACCATGAAGAACAATGTCGAGAAGCTTGGCAATGTTGCGCTGAACGATGCTGTGTTGGTCAAGGGAGAGAAGGAGGATGGGGGTGTGGACGACAACGAGGGCGCTTTCCTGGCACCGGCACAATTGAAGCAAAGCTACATCATTTGTGCTGCAAAGTTGCGCTTGGTCACCTTAACAGCGTTGTTAAAGAGGACATTCGCCAGGAAAGGAAGCGTCATGAAAGCGATTGTGTTCATCTCCTGCGCAGACTCAGTCGATTTCCACCACAAGATCCTGACAAGACCGCTGGACGATTCTCAGGCAGCAGATCTTAGCGACAGCGACACAGCCTCGAAACCACCTACTGATCCCACTCTAGCCGACGCCCTCTCCTCCTCACCACTCCTATCAAGCCCGAACAATCCTCTAGACGTTTACAAGATCCATGGCTCACTTCCCCAACAAACACGAACAGCAATCATCAAATCTTTCGCCAAGTCCTCAACAGCCTCCCTCCTCATCGCAACAGACGTTGCCTCTCGGGGTCTCGACCTACCAAATCTCGACCTGGTAATCGAATACGATCCCGCCTTTTCGAAGGAAGACCACCTCCACAGAATCGGACGAACAGCCCGCCTGGGTCGTGATGGTCGAGCAGTTATCTTCCTCCAACCAGGCAGCGAGGAGGGATACATCCAGGTGTT